CAATTGAAAAGATTCTGTAGAACATTTAACTTAGTTTTATATAGTAGGTGGTAGGCTGGGCACGGTGGCTCATGCCTGTAATCCCAGCCCTGTGAGAAACTGAGGCAGGTGGATCTCTAGTCCAGGAGTACAAGACTAGCCTGGGCAATATAGTGTGAACGCATCTCCATAAAAATTAAAAAATATAATAGTTGGGTGTGGTGACACATGCCTGTTCTCCCAGCTCCTCAATAGGCTAAGATGTGGGGATTGTTGAACACAGGAGGTTGAGGCTGCTGTGAGCCATGATTATGCCACTGTACTCCAGCCAGCCTGGCAACAGAGCGAGACCTCTTCTTAAAAAAAAAAAAAAAGTGTCATTGCACTGGATATGTTGCTTCAGGGAGCACGTCTTGCCAGAACATGCAACACTCTAAAGTGTTTTTCTTTTCCCTTAATCCAATTTCTTATTTGAAAACTGAATATGTATGTCTAGGACTTTTTTATAATGCTGCTTGTTGTGGCACCCAAGTGCTTTGCATTCATCATATCAGTGGAAAGCTAAACCCTGCAGTGCTGAATGGGGATAAATCTAATAAAAACAACCCAATTCAGCCTTCTATAAATATATTCACATGGAATATTATCATGTCTAAACTGAACTCATCTAAAGTAAGATTTAGAAAAGAAACTTTTAGGAATATTAAGAGGACTCTCATAAACACTGATTTGGTTAAGGTTTGAATCTCATTTTTGTATGTTTAAAATGTGTACTTGGAAAGCATAGAGATGTATAGTTACATACTTTACCATTGTGATTTCATTGCCAGTTTATGTTATGCTGCAGATAATTTTTTTTCTGAGCTCTCCATCTCAAGTCAAAGGAAACTCTTCAGGTATGCCTCATCATTAGGAATAGCCCTAACATTGCCACTTATTGACACTGTGTTGGTATTGCGCAGTTTCATAGTTACATTCCTTGATTACAGTGTGTACTTTTAGTCACACACAGTGAAAACTAAAAGAACTGAGTGATGCAACAGCAATGAATTTTTGCAAGACTGTTATTAATACTCGAAAAATAACTTTAAACCTTTTCCTCCTAATGGTATGCTAATAATTTTCTCTTTATACGTACCACTTTTCTTTGAAACTAAGAAACTTTTGTAGGAACAAAATTTTATCACCTATTTCTGTGAAATTATTCTATTCTAGACAGCACACTTTGCTATTTTAAAATAGATTCACTATGGTGGGCAATTAGAAGGTTGGGGACTGGGAGCAGGAGAAACAGAAATACATAAATAATAGGAGCTTATTTATTTATTTATTTATTTTGTTGTTATTGCAAATAGACTTTAAGTAAAAAATGAACCATAACCAAAACAAAATGTTTTGCCTCTGAATAGTATTTTAAGCTTGAGAGTAAAAAAAGTCACTAATGATGAACATATTTTCATTTTTCAATGTTTTCAATTTTTAATAAAGATTTTAATTAAGCTTCAGTCATTAAGTAGTTTTTAAACTTGGGTTTCATGATCCTTTGCCTTCATACTTTTAGATGGAGCCAGTTATCTACAAAACATGACAAATTTCAGAATCCATTAAAAATTATTTTATTCAAATTATGTTTTCCAAAAGAGAGGGTTCTGTGCTAGTCGTCTTTGAAAGTTTTCATACCATTTCAGAACCACATTTGCCGGAATGAACATTTCAGATGGGCTGGGTGTCATCTGGGCCTGAGAGACAGCAAATGATGAAGCAAAATTGTAGAAATTGTCCAACATCTTTTGTGTGAACTGAGTGAATGAGTCAACTGAAGATACAGCAGCATTACCTACAGGAGTCTGCTGAGCCATACTGTCCAGTAATTCTACTGAAATTCCAATCTGAGTAACAGATGGAGTTTGGACAATATTCATGGCTCCAAAAGGATGTTGGCTTCCTTCTCCAGATTTAAGACCTGAAATTTTGAAGATGGCAATTGGCTTCCCATTCGTGACAAATCCTAGGAGTTGCCATACTGGCATTCCACTTGAATCAGGATAAGAAAAGTAGACCAGTGAAAGTGGCCAAGAGGGCACAACCCTGAAGTGCTTGACATCACAGAGGAAACTCTGCACTTTTGCTTCCTGGAGGGCGTCCGCATTGTTGCCAGCATCTGTCTGCAGATTGGCTACCCAACTGTTGCATCAGTACCCCATTCTATCATCAATGGGTACAAACGAGTCCTGGCCTTGTCTGTGGAGACTCTTTACACCTTCCCACTTGCCGAAAAGGTCAAGGCCTTCTTGGCTGATCCATCTGCCTTTGCGGCTGCTGCCCCTGTGGCTGCTGCCACCATGGCTGCTCCTGCTGCTGCCGCAGACCGAGCTCAGGTTGAAGCCAAGGAAGAGTCAGAGGAGTCAGACGAGGATATCGGATTTGGTCTCTTTGACTAATCACCAGAAAGCAACCAACTTAGCCAGCTTTATTTGCAAAACAAGGAAATAAAAGTCTTCTTTAAAAAGTCAAAAAAAAAAAAAAAAAAGGGCAGGTGATAGCAGGGTAGGAAAGAATTTATCAGTAATATTACTTAGAATTGCTAGTGTATGGTGATATTAAAATGTAGGCTGCATATGCATAAGTTATATTTTACTATATTTAAGTTCTGTGCAGACAGTGTACCCCTCTATTCCCTGTACTGGTTGGATCTTTGCTGCCCCCACCCTTGAGACATCACTCACCCACATTAGGGGGAAGACTAATGGAAAATAAATTTGTGTTAATTTTCTGACCCAACAGAGGAAAGGATTAGTATGAACCAGGAGAAAATGGCATGGGTTGCTCAAGGAATTTGTCCTCCAGAATGTAGAGTATTTGCTATGTGCAGTTACTTTCGAGTTTTATTTCTAACATTTAGAAGTCTCCTTCAAAGTCGTTGTTACTTCTCTGTCATATGAGAAAATTGGGGCCCAGAGAGTTTGTAGTTTTGCAGGGAGTCACAACTAGCTAGCTAGTGGTGATTCTGGGATTCAACCTCCAGTCTATACCACCCAAGACTTCAACTGTCTTCCTACTGGGCAGGCATTACCTCTCTGGCACCTACCTCATTTTAAATGGGATTCTGATGGATAGTGCTTACATTTTCAGTTTGGGGTTGATTTTTATTATTTTATATTTTGATTATGTCACATATATTTTCTAACTATTGGTTAGAAAAAAGGTTGGCAATTTTGCATACCTTTTTAATAAGGTGTTCTTGACTTGCAGGAAGATAAGCTAGCCTCATGAAGTTGTACTTTGGAATACTCTTATTGTGTGAAAAAATATATAGAAATCAATCTTCAAAGTCTAGAGAAAGTAGAAAGTTTTATTAATCTGTAAAAACTGGATTCAGTAAGGAGGATGAATAAAGAATTGAAGAATTGTATCACTTATCTCCAGTTATTTTTTTTATTTTTACTTTTGACATTTCATGGATCCCTCAGGAATCCAGAGTGTGTGAAGGAAATAAGGTTAGAAAATAAGGCAAAAAGTCAAAGTTTATCATTGCTTCATGCAATATAACTTTGTTTGAGGAAGTACCTAGATATCACCTAATAAAGTTAGATCATAAATTCATGGTGCAGTTTTGGGTTGGGCAGTTTGGGACCTTGTTAGTGGTTGTGAAGGAAAGAAAATCTGACTGACATGGGAGGGTCAGATACTGAGCAATGACCCAGACCCAGAAATCTGACAAGAATTATACAATCCAGTATTCAAAGAAGTATGCTATACTCAGGTTCTGAAAAACTAGTATCAATAATCGTGATAATAAGGAATCAGCTACTTAATGGGTCTTCTAAAGGACAGGTGCTTTATGGTCCTCACAACAATCCCGGGAAGGTTTTATAATTCTTTACAAGTGAGCTGCAGAGAGGTTGAATAGTTTTTTCAAGATCATGTGAATCATAAGTGAAAGTATTTATATCTAAATTTGCATTTGTGCATCTCAAAACCTGCCCTCATTCTAGTAGATCGTACTTGGCAAGGGCAGTTAATTCACTGAGTAGTTCATGGGCATGGGATGCCAGAATTTTGAAGAGGCAGTGAAGTTTGGAATCAGGCATCTCTCTGCATGGTCAACCACTTTTAAGAAAAGCAAAAAGAGAAGACAGAAAGGGGCTCAAGGTTTAGCCCATGGTGAGAGAAGGTCAAGAAGGACTAGGTTGGATGACGGTGTTTAAGGCAGGTGTACTGGGGGCTCAGGGCATGTTCCAGAACCAAGTGGGAACTAGAATGCATACCGGTATATCAAGGCAGAAGCCTAGTCCTGGTACCAGCATGGCAAGAATGAGAGGAATATTATAGTTGGATGAGCATCCCAACTACATTTACAAGTTCTAGATACCAACAGCTAGTGGATCTGAATCTGTTTGTCGAGATTAATTTAAAGAGGAGTGGGAGAAATCCATTTCATAATTTAAAAAGTTCAGTTTGTGCAACTGAACAGGATTTGAAATTGGGAAGAAAGGAAAACAAGCCTTTTGCACACCCCCCTCACAGTTGTTAGTTCTCTGTAATTAATTCATAACAGCTGTAGAAAACACATGTTAAGATGGTATTACTCTCTCTTTCTGTATATATGTGTCTAGTTTTCGTTGACACACACATACATACTTGTTTCCTTAGGATCTTTGCTGTGCTAGTAACTTATTTTCATCTTGACATGCAATTTTTCTATCATCCACAGCTTTTGGAAATGTGGCAGAGTAAAAGGGACATTTTCCAAGTGCATATTTTAGTAGTACTAGGACATATGTATTGGGAAGTCTCATGAGATGTTAGTACTAACTCATGCAATTTGGCAGGCATAACTTTTATATTCTAAAATATAATGCTGCTAACTGGATTTCATGAAATCCTGCTGTCTGGTCTGCTTCTAAAACATAAAATGACAGCTAAAGTAACACTTCCTAAACAAAATGTTTCTAGGATTTAAATGTGATTGTTTACTCTCAAAGTAAACAATTGATGTGATTCTCAAAGTAAAAATGTGATTGTTTAATCTCAAAGATTACTCTGTCAGGAGTAATCTTGTATAAATTTGATTTTTTTTTTTTTTTGCTTTGACACATGATTGATTTTTCTTTCTCTGACACTAGACTTCAAGCAATATTAGAGAATGAAAAGGGGTAACAACATTACTGATTAAAATGTTGTTTGATTTACTTTTATGACAGATTATTTATTGAAGTCTTCAAGAAACCTGTTTTGTAGCTTGAGGTTATAGTATTCCCAGGAACTTTCTTTAAAATTTTTATCAATTAATATTTCCTAAATACATAGATTGTGACACTTGATTTATAAGTATATGTTATAATATGAATGGAAACTCCTAGGAATCATGAGATTGAATAAACTGGTATTCACAGTAAATGTGCAGGTGAGTTTAAGGTTATACTAGTGATTTTGAACTCAATGATAAAATACTGTGCTATCTTTGTCATTGTTTTTTAACAATATAAAGTTGCAATTTTGCCCTGTGAGTACAAGAAGGATGTTTTATTTGCTCCTGTTTTTCTTCATCCTATAGCACAGTACTTGGAAATTGGAAGATGCTCCAGAAATCATTGTTGAGCTGTAGTTTTCTAGGTAGGAAAATGTCAATGGTATGATAGTATGCCAAGTGACCATCGCTACCATGAGCTGCTTTGTTCAGTAAGCCATAATTTTTTCTTTCTGGGCTGAATGCTGCAGCTGATTCAAAGTAATAAAGGCGAGAGATTCTTTCTGACATGCAGAATGAGACAAAAAAATTAATCAAATCTTGTCATCAGTCAGTCACTGAATATGCATCAGGATTCTGCTTTACTCATTGAGTGTCTCTGTTGCAACATAATTACCAAATGCTCTTATTTATCATTTAGTGCTAAATGAATGCATCCACCTTTTATACTTAGGCTTAGAGTGTCCTGGGTTTCAACAGTACTCTTTGGTCCTGCCTTTCTTTCTTCACCCTTTCCTCCTTCTTACCTTCCTTCTCTCCTCTCTCTTTTTCTTATCTTTTCTTCTTTTCTACAGTTCATTATGTTTTATGTACATAGTCTAAATTACATGGTTTTGTAATTTAGTTTAGCTATTGAGTTTTAGTAAGTTAGTTTAATTCTAAATATCTGCTCTTTTTATTTTTTAAGAGACAGAGTCTCACTTTTTTGCCCAAGCTAGAGTGCTTTAGTGCAAGTATATCTCAGTGTAGCCTCAAATTTCTAGGCTGTGGAGATCCTCATGCCTCAGCTTTCTGAGTAGCTGGGACTACAAGTGTGTACCACCTCACCCAGTTATTTTTTAAAACATTTTATACAGACTGGGTCTCAGTATGTTGCCCAGGCTGGTCTTGAACTCCTGGCTTCAAGTGATCCTCCCACTTCAGCCTCTCAAAGTGCTGGGATTACAGGTGTGATACACTGTGCCTGGCCTCTGCTGTCTCCTTCTTTTTTACTATTATGTGTGGTTCTTTAGTTAGTAGCCATAACTTTTCTTTGTAGCTTTGGGAGGCACAGCTTTGGCTCTGAGAGGACCTTTGCATCTATGACTATGAAGTCTTGTATCAACAATTAATGCTTCTGAGAAGTGGACAGTTATGCTACATCTCTTGAGCTACCCTGGAGAGAACAAGTTAGAAACAACCTTAAAACAAATGCATCCATTTGCCCAGTAAATACAGTGAGGTTTCAATATGTGGAAAGCATTCTGCAGACACTGTTATGGGAGAGAGTTGAATCAAGATAATGATGCGTCTTTCCCTATAGTGTAAAGATTGAACCAAAGACTGAACTTCTAAATTGATCTTTATAATAAGCTAAAACATATATTCTTAAAGCTCAAAGTTATTTTTTATTCCTAATGAGATGTTATTTGAATAAAATCACATAAAAAATATGTACAGATTATTTTATTATTTATGTATTTGATAACATACTTGATAGAAGGAAAATTTTGCCCAAGCATGAGATTATACCCAGATGCTTTTTATCATTAAGAACTTCTGTCTAGTGTTTTTTTCTAGATTTGCAGCATAATAATCAGTATCCTTTATTGTATGCCTATTATAGCCAGGACGTTTGCAAGTGTTTAATTGGAGAAACATATTAGTATAGCGGTTATGATTATGGTCTTTGTGGTTGAATGTGAATTCAACTTCCATTGCTGTTGTTTATTAGTGTTGTGGAAATTTATTAAGTTTTGTGAGCATAGATTTCCTTCTTTGTAAAAAGAGGATTATAGTATCTCTCTATAAAATTATTTGTGTGGTTAACTGGTACAAGCCATGTAACCTCACATTATATATAATGTGACTATATTGTGATATATATGTATATATATTATGTGTATAAAATAAAATACATATGTAATAGCTCATGTTGTTTCCTTTCAGTTCTCATTTCATTTCTATGTGCCAGGCTCTTGCCCTCCAAGAGTTCTGAAATTTGGCTAAGGTCACCAACTGGGTTGCTGGGACTCAAACCCACTTCATTCAGATTCAAAATCCACAGCCTTTCTAATGTACCATACTGCCATGTATTACAGTCACTTTTCTCGCTAGCACAGCATGATGCAGCAGTGTGCTGATGGTTCTTTTCAGTCCCTCTAAAGGGCTTTTATCTGAAAGTGTTCTCCCAGAAGTCTTCCCATATTCTTTTTCTAAAAGTTTGTACTCACTTAGGTTCATTCTGGTTAGTGTTATGCTCCAAGTTAGCCTATATTCTTAGCCTATAAACCTGATTTCTACTTGGAGAAAAACATTACCATATAACTATTAATATAAAGGGAATCTATACTAGTTTTTGTTAAATGTAAGCATGAAAGGTTGTTTTTCTGTAGGAGAAAAAAAAATGTGTGAATTTCATTCAGTCCCTGCATTGTACTTAGGTCTTTTTAGGCTGCATATTTGGAAAATGAAGGAAATATCCCTATACTTTTTACTTTGAGAAGTACAAGGGACCCTATGCTGTAGTAGCAGAATCAGATTGCTCTGTTTAAATCCCATCATTATTTAGCCAATAGTTCCAAACTTTGAAGTGTTAAATCAATTGTGCTATGTTTCAAAAGTAATTTGTTGCTAAAAAGTAGTCAAAGTACTCATGTTTTCAGATGATATACTTTTTAATTAAAAAATATTTTATAGATTAGGTATGATTCCAGGTTGTTACAGTAATTATAGCATTGTCATGTATTTGTGCTTTTACATTTTCTCTGGTAAGAAAAAGGTAGAATTACATATAGAGTCATAGATATATTCAAAAGTGAATTACTTATGTGAATGCCACCTCATTAGTCTCCATCAGGAAAAAAAAAAGAAAAAAAAACTAATTCAGTAAAATAACTTTGGGTAACAACTGTGTGCTGAAATTTAAAAATATGTATACAGATGGCCCCCTACTTACAATAGTTCAACAAGATTATTCTTTACCATGGTGCAAAATCAAAACACATTCAGTAGAAAGAAAGCAGTATGATGCTCTCTCCTGATGCTGAACAGTGGCCAGAGCTGCCTGTCAGCCACAGGATCACTAGGTAAACAACTGATACTCTGCAGCATATTGTGTTGCCAGATTATTTTGCCCAACTCTAGGTTAATGGCAGTGTTCAGAGCAGACTGTGTTGCCAGATTATTTTGCACAACTCTAGGTTAATGGAAGTGTTCAGAGCAGAATAAGGTAGGCTAGAGTAAGCTATGACTTTCCTTAGGTTAGGTATATTAAATGCATTTTTTGACTTATAATGTTTTCAACTTACAGTTTATTTATCAGGATGTAACCCCACTGCAAGTTGAGCATTTTATAACATATTTCATCAATCGCTATATATCTGTATTTACCTATATCTGTAAATACACATACACACACATACACATGCACACATACACATACAAGCTCAGAGAGAAATGCTGTGAGCAATAGGACACTAGTGTCTGGAATACTTCATTTCTGAAGAAAACAAAAGAAAATCCTGTGTGTTTCTTTTTCAACATTTATTTTAGAATCAAGAGTTACATGTACTCGTTTGTTACCTGGGTGTATTGGGTGATGATGAGGTTAATGGTACAAATGATCCCGTCAACCCAGGTACTGAGCATAGTACCCAACAGTTCATTTTTCAGCCCTTGCCACCCTTCTTCCCTCTCTCCTCTAGTAGTCAGCATTGTCTGTTGTTGACATCTTTATGTCCATGAATATCCAATGTTTAGGTCACACTTGTAAGGGAGAATATGTGGTATTTGCTTTCTGTCCCTAAATTAATTTGCCTAGGATATTGGCCTCCAGCTATATCCATTTTGCTGCAAAGCGTATGACTTCTTTTTTGTGGCTATGTGTATTCCACGGTGTGTATGTGCAACATTTTCTATATCCAATTACTGTTGATGAGCACCTGTTGGCTCCATGTCTTTGCTATTCTGAATAATGCTGTGATGAACATGGAGTGCATGTGTCTTTTTGATAAAATGATTTCTTTTCTTTTGGGTATATACCCAGTAATGGGGTTGCTGGATCCAGTGGTAGTTCTAAGTTCTTTGAGAAATCTCCAAACTGCTTTCCACAGTGGCTAGAACTAGTTTACATTCTCACCAACCATGTATAAGCATTCCCGTTTTTCCACAGCCTCACCAACATCTGTTGTTTTTTGACTTTCTAATAATAGCCATTGTGACTAAAGTGAGATGTTATCTTATTGTGCTTATCATTTGCATTTCTCTGATGACTGCTCGTGTGGAGCATTTTTTCATTTATGTTGGATAGTTGTGTGTCCTCTTTAGAAGTGTCTGTTCATGTTCTTTGCCCATTTTTTAGTTTTTGGTTTTTTTTTTTTTTTTTTTTTTTTTTTTGCTTGTTGGTTGATTTAAGTTCTTTGTAGATTCTGGATATTAGACCTTTGTCAGATGCATAGTTTGCGATTATTTTTTCTCTAGGTTGCCTGTTCACTCTGTTGATAGTTTCTTTTGCTGTGCACAAGCTCTTTAGTTTAATTAGGTCCCACTTGTCAATTTTTGTTTTTGTTGTGATTATTTTTGAGAACTTAGTTACAAATTTTTTCCCAAGCCCAAAATCCAGAATGGTGTTTTCAAGATTTTCTTTTAGGATAATTACAGTTTGAAGTCTCTTACTTAAATCTTTAATCCTTCTTGATTTGATAATTTTTATATATGTTGAAAGCTAGGAGTCAAGTTTCATTCTTCTGCATGTGGCCAGTCAGCTATTCTAGCACCATTTATTAAATAAAAGTTATTCAATAAAATGTTGTTTAATAAATTTCCCCATTGCTTGTTTTAGTTAACTTTGTCAGATATCAGATATCTTTATGTGTGCAGCTTTATTTCTCAGCTCTCTATTCTGTTCCATTGGTCTGTGTATCTGTTTTTGTACCAGTACTATGCTGTTTTGGTTACTGTAGTATCATACTAAAAATTCAGGTAATGTGATGCCTCTGGATTTGTTCATTTTGCTTAAGATTGCTTTGACTGTTCAGACTCTTTCTGGGTTCCCTATGAACTTTGGAATAGTGTTTTTCCAATTCTGTGAAAAATAATATTAGTGCTTAGATAAGAATATCATTGAATTTTTAGATTGTTTTGGGCAGTGTGGCCATTTTAATTACTTTGATTCTCCCAATTCATGAGTATGGATGTTTTTTCTTTTGTATGTTTTATGATTTCTTATGGCAGTGTTGTTACAGTTATCCTGCTAGAGATCTTTCACTCCCTTGGTTAGATTTATTCCTAGGTGTTTTTTTTTTTCTTTTGTGTGTCAGTCTCGTGAATGGGATTACATTCTTCACTTGGCCCTCAGCCTGAATGTTGTTGATGTATAAATATGCTACTGATTTTTGTACATGATTTTGTATCCTAAAACTTTACAGAATGTGTTTATCAGTTTCAGGAGCCTTTTTATAGAGTATTCAGGATTTTCTAGGTGTAGAATCATATGGTCCATGAAGAGAGATACTTTAACTTATTATCCCATTTGGATGCCTTTTCTTTCTTTCTCTTGCCTGATTGCTCTGGCCAGCTCTTCTAGTACTATGTGAAATAGGAGTGGTGAGAGTGGACATCCTTGACTTATTCTACTTCTCAAGGAGAATGTTTGCAGTTTTTGCCCATTCAGTATGATGTTGGCTGTGAATTTGTCATAGATGGCCCTTATTATTTTGAGGAGTGCTCCTTCGATGCCTAGCTTCTTGAGGGTTTTATCAGGAAGGGATGCTGAAGAAAATCCTGTGTTTGGGGATTGTCAAAAAGAATTAATTTAATAAATGACATTATTAGAGATGATTTTAGTAACGCAACACTTTTAAGGGGAATACTAATTTCACAATTACTACAGAACAATTTTGGATAATTAATAAATTGTGGCATTGAGGCTGGAAAATAATTATTTACAGCTTGACTGCTTTGTTATGAGTCACTTACTTAGCTATCATATTCCAAAGTAGGAGCTACTTTTATTCCTCAGATTCTAATTTTCATTTTATATGACTATAAATATATGTAACTATAAATATATTTTTGCCAAGTTCTTACCATGTAAAACTGCCTATCTGATGCTATCCAATATGTACTGTAATATATTTGCTCTTAACGTTTGAGAAAATTGGTCACATTAAAAAATATAACCCAAATGGAAAACAAACTCCTTTTATGAGGTTATTTCATTAATAACAATTCTTGTTTACTTATATTCTAGGACGCAAATCAATTTCACAGTGGCTATTGATTTTACAGCATCAAACGGTGAGTGTTTTGATTATCTGTTGATAAAAATCATCAGCAATTACATGAAAAATAAATTTGTATTTTCGTGAGGGTGCTTTTGTTCATATATTTACATATTTCTGACATTTTGCATATAAAATATACATACTTTTAAAATATGAAATAGTTCAAATATACAAAAGACTAGAAATAACATAACAAAAATGCTAATAGTCTCTTTCAGACTTGTTAAATATTAAAATACTGTCATTATTGCTTTACATGTGTTTAAAAGAATACAAATTTTAGATGTACTGAAGCCCGCTGTATATCTCTGACCCATTCTCCTACCGCTGTTCTTTCCCATATATAATTCTGAAGTATATAAAATTATAATCTTCATTTTATAGTACTTTTGTATGTATGAATTTATATAAATGTAATTCAATAGTATCTGTTCTTTATAAAGTTGGTTAACTTTTAATCAATTAGTAATTTTTAGTAATTACTCATGTTAATGTATTAATATCTAATTTACCCAGAGGGACTGATGTGTAACCATCCATGTATAGATATTCATAATTTATATATTAAAGCTTTTAAGAAAAAAATATAGTGGGCTTTTATATTGACGCAGTTTTATTTCAAACAGAACAATCATTTGAAATTAGTTATGTATCATCAGAATGTGAACCTCATTATGTAACTTTTACCAGAAGTTGCCACTAGTTTATATTTGTCTATTTTTTCCTTCAAATGGCTTATTATGTCTGTGGATCTCACCTGGTATTCCTTTTATTTCATTTTTTATCTTGCAGTTATTCACAATTTACAAAATAATGGAAATTTTAGGGAAGAAAGCACCTTAGAGATCACTTAATTCAATCCTCCTCTTATACAAATAAGGACACTCAGATCCAGGGAATCCTTTTACTAATAAACACACTTGGCTTGTTAGTTCTAGAGTCAGAACTACAGATAAGACCAGATTCTAATTCAGCTTTCACTACATGTCACGTTCATTTTCCAACATTATGGCTTCCAATGAATGATTTTTATTCATGTTTTATTAAGCATAATATAGAATATAGAAATAATAGCTAAGGCTAGGCATGATGGCTCACACCTATAATACCAGCACTTTGGGAGGCCGAGGCAGGCAGATCATCTGATGTCAGGAGTTTGAGACCAGCAATGGCCAACATGGTGAAACCCCATCTCTACTAAAAATGCAAAAATTAGCCAAGTGTGGTGGTGCACACCTGTAGTCCTAGATACTCAGGAAGCTGAGGCAGGAGAATCACTTGAACACAGGAGGCGAAGGTTGCAGTGAGCCAAGATTGTGCCACTGCACTGCAGACTGGCCAACAGAGCAAGACTCCATCTCAAAAACAAAATAAAACAAACAACAAAATAATACCTAAAATCCAGTTGCTTTAAAATCTATATTTTGTTCACTGATGAATGTTAGCACAACAATTATGATAAGCAAGAATTTATTCAATAAAAAGACAAACATTTCTCACATTGATTTGAGAAGAAACAGATAATCAGAGTAGACTTATAACAAGTAAAATGTTGAATTAGTAGTTTTTAGAAGACTACCCACAAGGTTAATCTAAACCCAAGGCCAGGTAGCTTCACTAGTAAATTCTACCAAATATCTAAAGAAAAATTAATACCAATTCTTCACAAACTCTTCCAAAATATAGAAGAAGGTTACTTTCCTAGCTCATTTTCTGAGGTCCGTATTATCTTGATATCAAGAGATTTATATGCCTAACAAGATTTGTCGTTGGAATGAGAGTATTTTTAATATTTAAAAATCAAATAATATAACACACCTGCATTAGTCTTCTCTCATGCTACTAATAAAGACATATTCAAGACTAGATAATTTTAAAGGATAGGGGTTTAATTGACTCAGTGCCACATGGCTGGGGAGGCCTCACAATCATGGCAGAAGGTAAATGAGGAGCAAAGTCATGTCTTACATGGTGGCAGGCAAGAGAGCATTTGCAAGGGAACTCCCCTTTATAAAACCATCAGATTTCATGAGACTTATTCACTGTCATGGAAACAGCATGGGAAAGACCCACCTCCATGATTCAATTACTTCCCACTGGGGCTCTCCCATGGCACATGGAAATTAAAGGAGCTACAATTCAAGATTAAATTTGGGTGGGAACACAGCCAGACAATATCAACATCCTATTGATAGAAGAAAACACAGAAACCACATGATCATCTCAATTGATGCAGAAAAAGCAATTTTACAAAGTCCAATCCACCTTCATGTTAAAAACACTCAACAAACTAGAAATGGAGACTTCCTAACCTGATGAGGGAATCTATGTAATGTCTACAACTAACATCCTACTTAGTGGTGAAAACATTGACATTTTCCTCCTGAGATGAAAAAACAAGACAAAAATATATGCTCCTACTTCTTCAACATTATACTGGAGGTTGTTGCCAAAGCTATCAGGGAAGAAAACTAAAAACAAAATATCCAGATGAGAAAGGGAGAAATGAAAGTATCCTTATTGCAGATGACATGATCTCGTATATAGAAAATCCTAAGGAATCCACCGAAAATATACTGTAACCAATAAATACGCAAGTTTGCAGGACAGAAGATCAATATATAAAACTCAGTTCTTTTTTATGCATTTCCAAGAAATAATTAGAAAATGAAATTCAGAAAACAATTCCCCTTATCATAGTATCAAAAGGAATAATACACTTATGAATAATTTAGCAATTCTAGTTCTGGAAATATATATAATATAGATTTACCTGTACTCAAGGAAAATGCCATAGTGTATAACATCATTCATAGTAATTTGTAAAAAGTAAAAAAAAAAGTTTAGAAAGCTTCATACAGTATATCAGCTGGGTACTGGTGAAATAAACAGTGGTTCAGCCACAGAATGAAACACTATGCAGCCACGAAAAGAAAAGAAAAAAGAAAGGGGAAGGAAGGAAGGAAGGAAGGAAGGGAGGGAGGGAGGGAAGGAGGGAAGGAAGGAAAATGGACTCTTTCTACTAATATGGAAAGACTTCTAAGATATATTGTTAAATGTAAAGAGCAAAGTAGAGAACAGAGTTATCAATTATCAGTGTGCTATTTTTTATATAGGAATATAAATTATATAACAAATGCATAAATATTAGAAGTACACGTAATAAACTAACAAAAAGTGATCAGACTAATGAATTAGGTGAACTAAGAACTTCTTTATGGAAATCTTTTTATAGTATACTGATTGTGAAATTGTGAATGCTTGTTCATAAAATAAACAAATATGATTAAAAGAATGGAAAACGAAAGAAGTACAAAACATAAAGCTCAAAAACTCTGAAACAAAATAAGTGCAAACTATTTTCTGAAAAAAAAAATTGTTGAAATAAATTAAATATCAAAATAACAACAAGCCATGCTCATGGATTAGAAGACTCCACATTGTTAAGGTGGCAATGTTTCCCAAACTGATGTACAGTTTTAAAGCAATCAATATCAAAATCTGAAAGAACTTTTTGGAAGAAATATATGAATTTATGTAATATGAATTATATAAATTAATATGAGATTAATTTAAAGCAATCTTTATCAAAGTTTGAAAGGATTTTTTGGAGGAAATTCATATGTAAATTAATATGAAATTGCAAAGGACCTAGAAGAGCCAAAGCAAACTTGAAAAACAGCATCAAAGTGGGAAGAGTCACATTTCTCACTGTTAAACTTTACTACAAAGCAACAGTAATTAAGGCAGTGTCCCACTGGCATAAAGAGGGTTATATGGCTCAACAGAATTGAAACACATTTGCAGAAGTAAACCCCTGTGTCTAAGGTCAACTAATTTCTTTCTTTTTTTTTTTTAATTTTATTTTTATTTTTTATTTATTTTTTTTTTAAAAAGAAAAAAAAAAAAAAAATAAAAAAAAAAAGAAAAAAAAAAAAAGAATGAAGGAGAGGAAGAAAGAGGAAGAGGAAGAGGGAGAGAGAACAGGGGTGTTGCTTTATTGCCCAGGCTAAAATGCAGTCTAAAAATGGGCATGCCTGTAATTGTGTTTAATAATAGAGACATTAAAAAAAAAAATGAGGGAAGAAAATAACAAGCAGCCAACCAATATTTCATTTAAACCTATAAATAGGTGTGATATGTGGTACTGATAAGAGTGTATATTTTGTGTATTTAAAGTGGAGCGTTCTATAAATGTTAATTAAGTCTACTTGTTCCGGATCTGAGTTCAAGTCCTGGATATCGATGTTAACTTTCTGTCTCATTGATCTGTCTAATACTGACGTTGAAGTCTCCCACTATTATTGCGTGGGAGTCCAAGTCTCTTTATAAGTCTTATATATCTGGGTATTCCTGTATTGAGTGTGTATATATTTAGGATCTTTAGCTCTTCTTGTTACATTGATCCTTTTATCATTATGTAATAGCCTTCTTTGCTTCTATTGATCTTTGTTGCTTTAAAGCCTATTTTATCAGCAAAAATTGCAACTCCTGCTTTCTATTTATTTATTTTTGCTCTCCATTTTGTTGGTAAATTTTTCTCCATCCCTTTGTTTTGAGTCTTTGTGTTTCCTTGCGTGTGAGATGGATCTGGATGTAACATACCAATGGGTCTTGGCTTTTTTTGACTGTCTGTGTCTTTGGATTGGGGGATTTAGTTGATTTGAGTTTAGAATTAATAACAATATATGTGAGTTTGATATTGCCATTTAATGTTAGCTGGCTGTTTTGCTCATTAGTTGATGCAAGTTCTTAATTATGTTGATGTTCTTTATTTTTTTATTTTTTTTTTAGAAAGGCTGATACTGGTTATTCCTTTCTATTTGTAGTGGTTCTTTCAGAAGCTCTTGGAAAGCAGACCTGGTGGTGATGAAATCTCTGAGTGCTTGCTTGTTCACAAAAGATTTGATTTTTCCTTCACTTATGAAGCTTAGTTTGGCTGGATGTAAAATTCTGGGTTGCAAGTTCTTTTCTTTAAGGATGTTGAATATTGGCCCCCACTCTCTTCTGGCT